ATCTACTGGCTTTACCCCACCCCAACCTAGACTCAGATTCCAGAGCAAATAAAACTGATCTATCAACACCCAGGCCTACACATGTGTGTTTGTATGAATATGCATATATTTATATAAAGGATGTTTTAATAGCTTAATGCATGTGTGTGTATATACATATATATGTGTATTTATATGTATATACAACTTTAAATGTTCTTTATACATATATACAGCCTTAAAATGATATGTGTGGGTTGGTTTTTTTTTTGGGGGGGGTATGATTTTAAGCTATTAATTTAATTAAAATAAATTTAATTTAAGCTATTAATACATATAGATGCACTATTTTGTATATGTTAATAGTATAAAACTACATTTAAGTTTTTGGGAGACCACATTTAGCGTGCATAAATTATATAGATATATAAATACATAGCATTTATGTATCACTTTAGGGTGGCAAAGTATCATACATATATGACCACATTTGAAGCCTTGAGTCTAGGTAAAAGGGGATGAAGTCAATAGATTAAGAGAATGTGGTATGATGACAAAAGCAAGTACTATAGCTAGCTAGATAATAATGATAATGACGGAAATAGATAGATAATAAATATATCTAAATATATAATAGCATATATATATTCTGACATAACTTTAACATGCTACATGATGTGTGTTTTAAACTATTAAAGCATATATATGGATATATACATATGGTAATATATACATGTCTTTGAGTGTGTGTGTGTGTGTGTGTGTGTGTGTGTGTGTGTATCTGTGGGAGAGAGAGAGAGAGAGAGACAGAAAGATAGAGAGAAATCATAGACATGGAATGGAATTTATGGACCACAGGCTGTCACAGACACACACATAGTCATACACGTGTGTGCATGCACACACACACACACACAGAGACGCACATGCACATGTACATACACACAGACACTTTTAACTGATTTTGCCCCAGGCATAAGAATCCCTATATTCCTAGCTTGTTGCAGCTCTGCTCCCTAGACAATTCCCTAGATGCCTTTGTAAATTCTTTCTCTTTACCAAGTTTATTGATAGGATCATCCTTTTTTTTCCCCTCTAGCTTTCCAGTCAATCTTTCTCCCATTGTTCTGATTCTTCCACCCAAATACAAATTAACAATTACAAACCAGCTGCATCTAAATTGTTTACAATAGTCTCCTCAAAAGAGAAAGAGTATATTTAGAAAACACATAAACGCAGAAGAAAGATGTCCACTCCATAGGAAGAAGGCAACCTATGTAAAAAAATTTTTGTAAAGTCAAGGGATTGTCCCCTTTCTTCCCTAATTCCCTCTCCCTTCCCATATCTAAATAGAAACTTTCATTCAGAAGGATAGAAATAATTGAACTTTGGGAAAAATATTGTTTTCCATAATATTGAGATTTGGAAAAATATACAATCATTTTATGAAATCATTAACATGTGAGACAGATTGATGTACTTATTTTCCCTGTCATTATGAAAACTGAAAACTGCTAAAAACATTTCCCCTGGTCACACAACAAACCAAGGCCTGAAATGAGACAAGGAGCCACATGGTGCACAAAGAACACTGGCTTCCAAGCAAATTGTTACAAATCTGAGCTCCCACAATTATTAGCCTGGCTAACTCTTAATTTCTTTGAACTTCAGTATCCTTGTCTGAACAATAATGATAATAATCCTTACATAGCCTACCTCATAGGGTTCACCACTTTACAGGTATAGAAGTGGAAAGGTCCTTTGAGGACACCTAATCCAAATTTCTATTTATTACAGGTGAAAAAACTGAGGCCTTGAGACATCAAGTGGTTAAACGACTTGCCTGAAGTTACACAGGTAAGTGGAGTTTAAACCAAAGTGCTGTGGATAAATCTAGTACTCTGAAACTGTACCATATTGCTTGTTTTATAAACATAAAGGTGTGACATAGATCTTCGCAATTATTATGCTTATTATGATTAATCTGGGCCTTTTGACTAAGAAAACAGTTATTTAATTAACAAAGTTCCTTAGTGCTACATGCGGGCCTACACCACAGGACCAACCTATCAAGACATAAAGAGTTAAATTTTTCAGGGCAAGAATGGCTAAGACCAAATAGCTTGAGAAGCAAGAAGTTAAGCCCTAGGCGTGGGGGAATAAGTTATGGGCATGGGAAGTCTCCAGGAAGAATACAAATTAATACAAAGGAATTTCATAAGGTTCCTCATAGAGTCAGTCAAAGTTGAATTGCTTTCAGAACTTCTGTGAGCTCAGAACCATAAGCTGACAACTAAGCAAAACTAGATGTACCTGGGTAGTGTTGAATGGTAGCAAGATATTTTTAATTACTACAGATCCCAAATCAGTATCCATTTCAAATACCCTAGCCTGTGTTCCCAATAACTAGTACTTTGATTCTAAATCCTGGAGCCCTCGAGTAGCCAGACTTATAGTAACTGCTTCTCCTACAAGTTTCATCAATCTGAAATTGATTCCACTGGTTAATTGGGCCTATCATGCCTGCTTACTCCTTCTCACCTTTATTACCCTCTCTGGATCTGACTTTTTGGTCATGAGATTTATGGTACTTTGGGGTCCTGGTATTCTCTAAGTAGAGGCAGTTCTTTCTTGGCTTTCCCCATCCTGGTACCAGCTGTAAATCAGCATGAAAATGAATGTGAAATAAAATGTTGTAAAAGTTCAAATGTCCTCGTGACAATCATAGGAGGCATGTACATCATAGATCAAAGTACGCCAGAGTTAAGTACTAATCCAGGGAAATACTCTTCTGCACCTTAATAATGGGTCTTCACTTGCTGGAGTAACCAAATCTGCATCAACCTCATGGCCATCCTTATGGCCACAAGAATCTCCAAACTTGGCTAGAGTGCTCCTCAGACAGCAGACTCTTGACCCCTTGCCAAACAGTCTTTATTAAAAAGCCTTTCTAACTAGGTAAGTCTGGCCAAAGCTTGTGTCCTCCTCCCTAATCTCATATTCAGGGACATCTCCATATCACAACAAAAGAACTGGAAAAATAACCTTGCAGAAACAATGTCCTTTAATTCTAGAACCAAGGCTTTTTCTATCCTATTACTCTGCCTCTAGGAATTACTTCAGAGAATAATTCTTCCCCAAAACAGTAAAAACACATTCTACCATTGCTGCTTATTTGTGAAATAAGTGGAAATTGATTATGTGCAATCTCTATGACCAATAATCTGATTTAAATTTAAATGTACAATCATAATAGAAATATTACTATTTTTTTTAAATGAAGGATTACCCTTCATACTGCTATCATATAGGAAATAAAGTGAAGGACATAGTTTGGTCTGACACAGTACAACTATTTATTCCAGGCAGCTCCAGCCAACTTATAAATGTTAAAGACAAAGAAATAAACCACAAATAGCATATATCATTATATATTCAAGGAGAGAGTAAGTCACCAATCTACCAGAAAAAGCTTCCTGTTTAAAACTGCACAAATAAGACTTCAATCCTATAGCCAATCACTAGGTACTTTGCCAAATTCCATGAGTATGGTTTGACTAAACTATTGGCACGGATCTCATTAGTCCAAATAAAATATGTCATTTCACCAACAACCACAGGAAGAAACACGTATTAGAACTTATGAGTGTGTATACGCACAGAAACATATATATATATATCACATACATACACATATATGTATGTATGTATGTATATGCACACATATATATTTAATGTCATATATATGATATTAAATGCAAAAAGGGAAAAAATGATCCAGCATATTATTTCTTTTATAGACTTGAAATGTTTAAAATTTGTCTGAAACATGGAAGACTTAAAAGGAATAGGACTCAGGGGTGGGGAACCTGCGGCCTTGAGGCCACATGTGGCCCTCTAGGTGCTCAAGTGCAGCCCTTTGACTTAAGATTTGTTCTGTGAAGTTTGGATTCAGTCAAAGGGCTGCCCTTGAGGACCTAGAGGGCCACATGTGATCTCGAGGCTGCAGGTTCCCCACTCCTGAAATACATCATACCTGGAAGGTTTAGCTCCAGGACAAATGATTTCGGATCGTATAGCCAGTGTCTGGCTATGTAACCAGAGACCACTTGCTGTGTTTGTAAACCTTCCAGGTATGACCTGTTCCACTTAAGACTTCCATGGACAGAGAGAGAGAGAGAGAGAGGAGAGAGAGAGAAAGAGAGATCTATATGTGTATATATAGAAAGAGATATAGATAGATATGTCTACACACACATAAGAGGAACATTTGGTGCCCATAGAGTAAGTCAAGAGCTAGTGATTGCTGCACAGAAGTTTCCCACAGAGGATCTGTTTTCCCCTCAGTGGTACACAGAATTCCTATCAACTCTAATGGGAATTGGGCGCAACATGGGAAGGAACAGAAACTGCCTGATTAGTGATATAACACCATTGAGTGCCTTTAAAGTTGAGCATCTTCATTGAACTTCCACTATTAAACTGTTCTTTTGGTGTATCACAGCCTGTTCTTCTGGACTATTACCAAGGGGATACTTAGAAGTTCACTTCTGTTCAAAGAAAATCAATTCTTACCAAGTCGTTTACCAAATCCATTAGCTAAGGACAAGAATAAAACAAATGGATGAGTTTCTCTCTCTCTGTCTCTCTCTCTCTCTCTCTCTCTCTCTCTCTCTCTCTCTCTCTCTCTCTCTCTCTCTCTCCCCCCTCTCCTCTTTCTCTCTCTCCCCTTTCTCTCTCTCCCCCCTCCCTCCCTCCCTCCCATTCTCTAACTCTCTCACTGTGTTTCTTTCCCTGTCTCTGCTTTTCTCCCCATCTTTGTCTGTCTCTATCTCTGTCCCTCCATCTTTGTCTCTATCTCTGTTTTTCTTTCTTTCTACTTTCACTTTCATATTGTTTATCTCATCTATAACATCCTTATACAATCCTCCTATTGCCCCAGTAATTATATTACAGTCTATGCATCTTAAACAGATTCTCTTTTGCCTTGAATGGCTCAGCAAGATTCTATTTATATTTACCGTTTTATTGCTTCTTCTTGTTTGCGGCGTTTTTCATTCTTTTCTTTCAAGTAAGCCAGGTTTGTTTCATTCCGTAAGCGATCATTCTCTCGAGCAATGTCTGATGCATTCTGAATAACCAAGCCATCATAGGCCTTCATTCCCATATCCTCTATATACTGGAGAAAAGCATCCAAAGTGTCCTCCTCTGAATTAGAACTCATCATCTTGCAGGAGATCATGTTAAAAAGGAAGAAACACTTTCCTGCAAGTGGAAAACACATTATACCTTCATCAGTGGGAAAACATCTTGCAGTTTATTATAGCTAAAATCTTGTCAGTTCCCATTTGTAAAACTTAGGGTAAAACATATTAGGAAATTTTCCCTACAGGGAACCAAAGAATTTGGATACCATATTAACAGGACTTAGTTTAAGTTATAGATGGCAAACAACCTAATAAAATAATGGATTTGGATTTCTCTGGATTTCAGAACTAAAAGAAATGATAAATAGAATATGCCTATTTGTGTCTAAAGTGGCCATCTCTAGAACAAGGAGAAGAGGAAGAAGGAAAAAGGAAAAAGGAAATTTACATGATAACACTGTTGTATATTTAAAAGGAATAGCAAGTTATACATAGCAGATTTGCAGTTTCATGTAATCTTTTATTTTAATTATACCATGTTATGGAAATGTTTGATTTATTCCATAAATTTAAAAAAAATTAAATGAGAAAGAGATCTTAACCGTCATCAAGTCTAACCTTCTCATTTTTCAAATGAAGAATTAAGGTTCTGAGTGGTTAAGTGGTTTGCCCAAAGTCATATGAACCAATGACAGCCAGCATTTGAATCCAGATCTTCTGACTATAATTCTAATGCTCTTCCTACTTTTTTTCTAAAATGCTATGTCAAGGAACATGCTGTCAAATAAAGAAACCATTGTTAATTCTATGTTTTCAAAATATCAAGAATATATCTTTCCTTTCACCCTAACATCTCTGGGGAGTGTATTTTTGGGACAAGGAAGCTGTTTGGGTGTTGTTTTATCAATACATTTTTTAAAAAAATGTTATGTCAAATCAAAATTACTTTATTTTCCAAGATAAAACTATGGCTTGAATAATAATTACTGTCATGGGTGTCATTGCTCAAAATGTCATCCTTGTATGGATGAGATATGAAATCACATCTGATTATTTTTTTATTGCCAATCACTATAAAAGTTTCCTCCTTTCAATCTCAATGAAATACACATAAATTGGAAACAAATTTTTATTTTATTACCTAAATTTTCTATTTGCCACAAAAATTCATGAAACAAACATGTTCAAGCAGAATTTCCCTACAACCCAGAAAATTTAAATTGCTAATAATATTTGCCAAGAAAGTGTATCTGTATATTAACAGTCTTCTATTTTCTCAAGTAGCAACATCACCTGGAATAATGCTTTATATTCATACAGAACTTTAATTCAGACCTCACAAGTATCACCAATTACCACCTCATTAACCCTCACCATGTCTTTCAAGACCATACACAATAATATCATTTTCATTTTCATGTTATAAAAGCTAGGTTAAAATGAGGAAGTTAATTTAGCCACAGGTAACTTGTGGGGGGGGGGTGATGGAGATCCCCAACTCTTATGTCCTCCTTTTATGTGGTTACATGGGGATGAATATAAAGCGAAGTAAATAGCTAAGTAACTAGGCTGATCCAGATAGGAAGAGGTGTGGAGCAGATATTAGTGAAAATCTATTGCCACAAACAAATGAGGCCATTACTATTCTCTGCCTCAATGAGCCTCAGTTTTCTCAGCTGTAAAATTAATGGATTAGATCATATAGCCTATAAGGTCACTTTTCAGCTCTAGGTTCGTGATCCTATGACTCAATAAATCTTCTCTAAGCAACTAAAACATTTGGTTTAACTTTAAATGCTAACCCATGGTATAAGCATGTTATTGTTCTACTGTTCATGTTGGCTGGCCTTGGATATATGTTCCCAATGACACTGGTAGTTGTATTAAAGTTGTGACAATTTATCCATGACAAAATGTATTGGGAAGTGTATGGTGAGAGAGCAAGAATGTATTAAGAGAACTATTGACCAATTTTAACTTTGCTTTGTTCTGCTGAATGATCTTAGTCAAACCACTTTTTTTCTAGGACTCAGTTTCCTCATGTATATAATAACAAGGTTGGATTGGATACTGTCTATGGGTCTCTATAGTTTCAGAAATTCATAATTTTTGAGCTTTCATCATGATAGCCACTTGGAAAAGCTAAGGGCAAAATCAGAGCATCTAAAGAAAAATTACTCCTCCCACTATTACATGCCTCTTACTCCACTGTCCTGCTTGTGTTTTCAACCTTTATAACTCAGAATGATTTTTGGAATTGATTTGCAAAGTTGTTGAACATAGACAATCAAGTTCTAGCCTTTTATCTTGGCACTCACAAAGTACTTCATATCTCATCTTTTCTGAGAATGATAATTATGAAAGCTAGCTTTTATATAGAGCTTTAAGGTTTGAAAAGTGGGTTTACTAGTATCTGATTTGGTTCTTACAATGCTGAGAGGTAGATGCTAATACTATTCCCATTTTACCGATAAGGAAACTGAGGCAGACCAGTGGTTAAATGACTTGACCAAGGACATATATTTAGTAAGTGTCTGACTCTGCACTTGAATTCAGTTCTCCCAGCTTTTATCCAAAATTCTATCCACCCTGCCACATGTTTAATAGCATGTGTCATGCAAATCAATGACAGTACTCTAACTTTATCTGCTGAGGAATTTTTGCACATATATTATTGCACATATTGTTATACATTCTTGGATAGTACAGGACACTTTTTCCTTGTGAAGTCCATGTCACATTCCAAAAATAGACAATTTGGCCCCAGAGAGTGGTATACTTGTTTGTTGACTAATGGGTTTTTTTGAGCTCTATTTTTTTTTAATTTTAGCAGTAATGATGTGCTAAGTGGGATTGCATTTTTGAATTTCAATTATTATCTGATGTAATTTAATTGTATTTTAATGTCTGGAAATCAAACCAGAGGAATAAGTAATGAACATAGGTACTTATGGAGGACTTTTGCAGGGTGGTTTAGAAGGGGGTGATTCTACAAAATATTACCTTTATACTTAAATGCATTGTAAAATAAAGGTTTAGCCATTATTTCAGACTCCTATTTGCAGTGGACTTTACCATTTAAAGAATCTGGATTTTTGAAGTAACGCTTTGATTTTATAATCATTAATTTCTACTGTAATTATGCAAGCCAAGACAAGGTTCTAATGATTTCAGAGTTGTTGCCTCAGGGCAAAAAGGGATCACTCCCCTTCTCATTCTAGCAAAATGTGTTTCTGAATTGGGTAAAGATATTTGCAAGTTTTCGAGTTTGGATTTAAAAAAAAACTTTTCTTAAAACCATGTGGTGTCAGCTACTCTCTGTAGAATATAATACAATAACAACTAGCTAGATCCATTTATTGACTTGGCATGATAATAATAATGATCTTCCTAAGTATTTTTTTTTATTGTATGGAACCTAAGCCAGTTTATAGAGAAATAATTGAACATTTTAAACAGCCCATTTCTTTAGTGGAGTTTACTCATTTAATTTTTGTTGTTATTTGTGTCTGGAACTGTGAATCCATGGTGTGGGAGCTCCCAGGTGAAGAAACTCCCTCCACCAATCGATAGCCCTGTAATTCATAATCTTGGAGACCTACCCATGTTCCTATACCTTATATGTGTCTGAGACCATTCCTGAGCCAGATACTCCCTGCTACACCTCCCCTCTATTCACCAGGCCAAACTGCATCTTCTCAATTGTATTTCTTGAGGTGGAAATGAATGAGATTTAGGAAGTATTAAAGATTTTATGATGTTATTGTACACTTTGAAAACCAAGTGCCAGAAATGCATCTAACACTGCACACACCAGGTACACCCTGTCTCATGCTATCAACTTTTTTGAGGGTAAAAGAGGAACTTCTCAAACTCCTAAGCTGAGCCATAAATATGGATCTATAAAATATATATACATTATATATATATATATATATATATGCATATGTGGTGTGTGTGTGTGTGTGTGTGTATATACATATATAGAGAGAGAAAGAGAGAGTCACAGTTATGTAGCCTCACCTAAGTACAAGTCAACACAACTCACTAATTCCTAAATGTTTCCTGGCATCCAACCTAAATAAGACTTTTTGCAGTGTCTACTTACCACTCCTAGTTCTAACTTCTGAGCCAAAACAGAAAAAGCGTAATTCTCCTTCAAGTGGAAGTCTTTCAAATACTTCAAGACAGACACTTCCCTCTTTCCCACCTCCTCTCCCCACCCCCAGACCCCTACCTTACCAATATCTTCTTTTCTCCAGGCTAAATGTGCCCGATTCTTTCACTTTTTAACACTCTAACAAAAGCATTTCTCCTAGATCATCAGTAACCTTTTAATTACCAAATACAATGACATTCTCAGTTCTCATACTTCTTAAACATTTTGCTTTGTAATTCTTACTGTTGACTCCTTCCTCCTAAATATTCTTTCCTCCGTTAGCACCATTACTCTTTGCTGGTTCTCCTTCTGCCTCTTGGGCATAACTTCTTGATTTTCTTTGGTCCATCCCTCTCCTCAACATGTGGTATTCACCCCCCTCTTAGGCAATGACCTCTTCTATCTCTTCTGTACACTGTCTCCCTTGGTGAACTCATCTGATCCCACTGATTCAATTGTCACCTCTGTGTATATGACTTCCATATGAGAAATGGAATTGTTAGAGATTTATATCCAGTTTCTTGCTTGAGCCCTATTTTACTGCCAGACATCTCTACCTGGAATTCAAATCCAACATCCCAAAGACACTATCTCCTTGCCCCAAACTTGCCTATCTCCTTCTTTCTTTTCTTTTTTCTACATAAAGTATCAATATCCTCCCAGTCATCCAGGTTTGAAATTTTACCATCATTGACTTTTCTTCTCCCTCATCCCACACATTGCTTGAGAAGTACTGAGGAGTACAGCTCCAGAATCTTTCCAATTTGTCTAATTCTCTTTACACATACAGCCATTGCCGTATTTCAGGCCCTTATCACCACTCACCTGGACTTCTCTAATAGCTCTTCACCTGAACTCCCTACCTCCAGCCTCTCCTACTCTCCTGTCTCTATATCACTTTTTTTCCTAATTTCTTTCATTTTTAATTTTTTTGTGTGTGTTTAATGGACCAAAAAAAT